AATTTATAACCAACAACCTCATCAGTATCAACAAGAGAATTATGTGTGATAGGAGAGCTTACCTCAGGAGTATCCTCAGGAGAATGATCGGGTACTAAAGAAGGGATATTTTGAGGAAGAGAGGACTGCTCTTGAGGTTGTTCTTGTGCCTCTTATAACAAAATAGTCTGCTGGTCATCTTCATTAAGAAGTTGCTGCCGTGAGTCAGATGCATCGCTAACCCCTGCCATCAAGCCACCTTCCCACCAATTTACCCTTTCACCATGGATCTCCCCTTGAAAAGTATAATTGGTGGCAGGAAAGAAGAGTTCAGATTCAACAAATGTAACGTCCATAGTCACATGAGTTTTCTTTGTGTCCGGATTGTAGCAGCGATATCCCTTCTGGTGGATTCCATAGCCAAGAAAAACACACTTGACAGCACATGGGTCGAGCTTTGTTCGCTGATTTTTATGCAGATGGACGTAGGCCACACACCCAAACACCTTGGGAGGTAAAGTCAAGACTGAAAGAAGTGAGACATGCGTCGAAAGTGCCTGAAGCGGGGTCTAGAATGCCAATACGCGGGAGGGCATACGATTCATTAGATGCAAGGCAGTAACCACAGCCGCATCCCAAAACCGATTCGGAACCTGCCCACCCACTAGAAGTGCCCTCGCTGTCTCCAGGATATGACGGTTTTTCCGTTCAGCAACACCATTTTGCTAGGGTGTCTGAGTGCAAGAGGTCTCGTGAATTAATCCATGGTCTTGAAAATAACCTGTGAGGTGTTGGTTAATATATTCGCCGCCGTTGTCGCTGCGAAGGATACGGATTTGAGCTCCAAATTGAGTCATGACCATGCGGTGAAATACACGAAAGATTGTCCCTACTTCATCTTTATGTTTCATTAAATATAACCAGGTCATCCTTGTACAGTCATCCACAAAAGTTACAAACCAACAAATTCCAGACATAGTAACAATTGGTGAAGCATCCCACACATCCGAATGTATTAATGAAAAAGGAGTTTGGCTCTTATTAAAACTCAATGGAAAAGAAGCACGATGGCTCTTCGCCAAGATGCAGGTCTCACAATGAAATTCAGAATCTGATAAGCTACTGAACAAATCTGGAAATAATTTCTTTAAATACCCAAAAGAAGGGTGTCCTAAGCGACGGTGCCATAACCAAATTTCTTTCTCCTTAGTAGTAGACTGATTGCGGGTGTAATATGCTCGGCTTTCAGTAAAGTCATCAACAAAGTAGAGTCCCTCCCTCTTAGTACCATGTCCAATAATCTCCTTTGTGAGGATATCCTGAAATAAACAAAAGGAGGGATACATAATAACGCTGCAATTCAATTCAGTAGTGATTTATCCAACAGAGAGCAGTCGGTTAGATAAAGATGGCACTAGCAAAGTGTGAGATAATGATAAAGATGGGGAAAGTTCAACACTGCCAGCCCCCAACACAGGAAAACGACGACCATTGGCATTATATATATGTTGTCTCCTCGGAGCGGTGTTGCGCAAAAGATCATCAGGATGGGGTGTCATGTGATCAGTAGCGCCTGAATCAACAATCCACCCATCTTTACCTCCTGCTTGAGAAGTATTGACAAGCACAAACCCATTGTTACCTGTAAGATCAGAATCAGGTGGAGCGGTGGAGTCTACCTGCGACACCAAAGATAACGACGAATCACCTATGGCCAAGGAAGCTTGTCCTCTACCCGTCGGATTGTCAACCTTCTTTTTTGCCTGCAATTCTTTCCACCACTCAGGATGGCCATGCAACTTGAAACAGGTCTCCTTTGTATGTCGAGAATTCCCGCAGTGAGTACAACCCCCTGCTGCTAGCGGTTGCAACTTAGCTCTCGGACCAGAGCTAGAGCGCCCTCCCCCAGGCTGAGTAGAACCATGAACCATTTGTAAAGTAGCATGTCCGGAGCCAAATTCTGGAAATTTTGAGCCTGTTTTGCTGCCACGCGACACCATAGCAGCAGCAGTGGGAGTCTGTGGGTGTGCCATCATAACGGCCTGGCACATATCTTCTCTTCTTACTCGTGCGTAGGCTTGTTCAACCGTAGGAAATGGTTGCATCTGCAATACATCAGCCCTAACCTTGTCGAGGCGATCATCCAAGCCATCCAAGAACAAATAAACACGATCTTCCTGAACTAAAGTGTTGTATATGTCAATATCATGAGCATAGGTCATAGGATTAGGTCGGCGAAAATCAATTTCTCGCCAAAGTCCTTGCAGGTCATTATAATATTTTTCAATGGGTCCGCCTGCCTACTTCAATCGGGTCAATCGTCGCTTTAAATCATACACCTGGGAGACGTCGGTGCCATCAAAGAATGTTGTAGCCACCGCATCCCAAACCGCTTTTGCCGTGGGGTATCGGATGAAGATGCCAATCAGTGCAGGATCCATGGAATTGATAAGCCAGCCCTTCACAGTTGAATCGTCAATCTTCCACTTTCGGAAGCCGGGATCATTCGGAGAGGGTTGGGGAAGAACCCCAGTAATATATCCCAACTTGTCTTTGCCAGAGATGTACATCTCGACAACTTGGGACCAAAGACCATAGTTGCTTCCATCTAACTTGACAGCAATCGAGGGAGCCAGAGTCTCAACATGAGATTGTGGAACATGTTGGGATAGGAACTGGGTCAAACGCTCAATAAGAGCATCAGTATTCAAAGCTCCCTCTTGTGCTACCAAGGGAAGAACATTGCCAGTCGGGTTTGTGTCTGCCATAGGGTGATGCAGCACGATTGCGGTGATCTTTAAGAAATCTGGTCAGAGCAGCAACAAAGGTCGCGGCAATGGAGTCTGATTGATCGGATCGAGTATAGAGTCCCTTGATCAGTGGCTCTGATACCATGAAGAAAAATAAAGAATTCTAAAAATTTTCTGTAATTTCTGTATTCCAGCTTACGTTTACGAGGCTATAAGTACATATATATACAAAGAAAAGAATCAACCTTAATTGACCTACAAAACAGGGGATATACATAGAAAAAGGAAATATACATAGAAAGAGTATAAAACGATAAGAACTTTCCTATTTTGGCTCTAGAAGACAGCTCACGCTAACATGATAGACCTAGAATTTTAGTGGAGGGGATGAAATATTTAACGTGATTGATTAATATTTGTTATCATGTTAATTGTAGGAAAGAGAACCATGTAATAGCTTAGAAGAAAAATGTAAAATAATTAAAGATTTGTTTTGGAGTGAGATAAAAATACCGAGGAACCCTATTGAAATAATCGTAGTTAATGGTGCATTTTAAGTTTATTTTCGGTGGCGATTTTTGGATGCGTGGGCATGTTTGAGATTAAAGCGAAATTTGGAGATTTTTTTAAACAAAGAAGACTTCGGGAAAGAAATAAAATTAGACCCCAAATTGGGAAAATTTCAAATAAAGGCCCCAAGTAGAGCCATTTTCTCAAAAAAGGACATAAAGTGGACATTATCTCAAACAAGGACCTAAAGTGACTAATTTAGTCTCATATAAGGATCCGAACTTCCAATCTTATTCACAGCGAGGGGCATTTTTGTCAAAAACATTTTTTTTCTTCTTGCTCTCTTTCTTTTTGTTATCTTTTCTTTGTTTCTTCTTTTTTCATCTTCCCTACGCCTCCTCGCTCTACATCACCTCCATCTTCAGCGCCATCATCAGCCCCTCTATCTCTCTATGTCATCTCGTTTTATGACCAGGAATGGGTTTATTTCAGCGCAAGCCATTACAACACAGCCTAACTCGTTGAAGATTTTAAATTTCGCTCATCGAAATGGTTTGTAGACAATTCCATGAAGCCAAAATGAACTTACAAAAATAGGTTCTGTTTATCCCGACATTCATTGTTCCGATCTCAAAGCCATAACATGTTTCTGCTTTTTCCGAGACTCCAACTTCTTCCTTCTGTCAACCCAGCAACTGCAATTTTTTGTGCTGTTTTCAATCCTCCTTGCAACTGACGATTTTATCGTCGGAGAAGGCGACTGGCAGCAAATAACTCCAATCCAACTTCTCGTCACCGAGACCGCTCACAGCCTGCGTGACGATGTGAAGCGCACGAGCTCGCTGGTGCGGGAGCCTGATGATGGTGTTGAAGACGGAGGTGATGTCAAGCAAAGACGGAGACGTGAGGAAGATGAAGAAATAACAAGAAGAAGAAAAAAAACAAAACAAAAAGAAAGCGAAAATGAAGAAAGAAAAAAATATCCTTGGACGAAAATACCCTTAGCTATGGATAAGATTTGGAGCTCGGGTCCTTGTTTGAGATAAAGTTAGTCACTTCGGGTCCTTATTTGAGATAATATCCGATTCGGGTCCTCTTTTGAGAAAATGGCTTCACTTTGGGTTCTTATTTGAAATTTTCCCCCTAAAATTTAAGAATTATTTAGGGAATTAGCCCTTTTTTTTTAATCCCCTATCTCTTGACTTTTCAACTCTTGCATCTCCAACTGGCATTGACTTTGCAAGTCTTGCGTCTTCCCCAGCCATTCACTTTTAATGAAATTTTGTATCTGATATCTCCTAAGATCCAACTCCGGGAGGGAAAATCTCTTCCTGTAGCATCAACAGTGAGCAAGAGAGGGAGGTGATGGCCCGCAACTCGTTTGTGCTGCCTCGTTTGTGTTGCCTGTGTGGAAGAAAGCAGGTTAGTTCCGCTTCCCCGTGTTTGTGCATTTTTTTTACAAGATGGGTGGTTATGTCAGTGTGAGGACTGTTGATTTAGCTGGTATATGCTTTGATCTGCACATTTCTTTGGACTGCAATGAAGGATTTACTGGAACATTTTCTTGATCTTGATTTGGTCCTCAAATTAGCTGCATCTCGTATCCTTTTCAGAACATCATCAATGAGCCTAGATCGAATGGAGTCACCTCTTTTTCTTTCCTTTTGTTTTTGGTTTTTTTTTTTTTCCAAAGCTAGTTTGTTGTTTCATATCGGAACATCCTAGTCAAGGCCTATGCTTCCACTTTTTGCTTTCGCTAATATGGGGAAATTGTCGTTTGCCTCTTTCGTTTTACAGCTGCCAGTCTCTTTGCCGCCACCGCCGCCACCGCCTTGGTCATCATCACAGTCGCCGCCGCCCCCGCTTCCGTCATCATCACAGTCATTGCCGCCCCCGCTTCCATCATCATCACAGTCGTCGTCATATTTATCATCCATCTCTACCTCATCAAGAACCAATTACGAAGTGTTCTTGAGTTTTAGAGGTCCCGATACTCGCAGGGGATTTGCAAATTTTCTCTACACTAGCCTGATTAATGCAAGGATCATTGTCTTTAGGGACGATAATGAACTTGATCCTGGAGAAAATATCCCTGATGCATTGGTTCAATCCATAAAGCAATCCAGGATATCAATACCTATTATCTCCAAGGATTATGCATCCAGTAAGAGTTGTCTCATGGAATTGGCACAAATGGTGGAATGCAAGGAAGCAGACGCTCAACTGATCATACCCATTTTCTATGATATTAGCCCTGCTGATTTAACATACCGACGTGGATGTGTTGGGAAGTCCTTCCGTAAGCACAAGCGCAGGGGAATTGACCGCGAAGTCATTAAAAAATGGAAGGAGGCTCTCGAAAAGATTGCTGCTATCAAGGGCCATGATCTGCGGAATACAGAAATTGGGTAATCATCTTTTTACTGTCCTTTTAATTTTATTCGCTTTAGCTTTATGAGAATTTTGCCAAGCACAATGTTTTTGAAATCATTAAATGGATAGGACTAGATTCAATAATGAGGTAAATGTGCTTCCCGTCCCCTTCTTGTTGCCCATTGCATCGTCCTTGTTGGTAAATTTAGTACGGTTTAACTGGATTATGTCCTTCGTAATTTTCATAGACTGTTGTTTTTTATTTTGTAATCTTATCATGATTCCTTATTTTCATCATCACATTTGGCAGTTACGGTGCACTCATAGAGGAAGTTGTTTCGGATATTCTAGAGTGGTTGAAGAAGAATGATTTAGATGTGACTGACGGTTTAGTGGGAATGAAACCTCACGTACGGGAGGTTATGAAAAAGCTTGGTGTCATCTATGTCAATGAGCAGGCAACCGGAGTATATGACAAAGATGTACGTGTACTTGGGATATACGGCACGCCAGGGATTGGCAAGACTACCGTTGCAAAGGTTGTGTACAACAAAATCCATCATCTCTTTCAACGTTGTAGTTTTCTTTCCAATGTTCGAGAAAATGGTGCATCCGATGGACTCATCGTGGGCCTACAAGAACAGTTAATCTCAGACCTCCGGAGGAAAGTACGTAGAAGGCTTGGAACTCTTGACCAATTGACTAATGTCCTAAAAAGTTCATTTAGCGAAATGAAAGTTCTCATTCTCCTTGATGATGTGCATCATTTTGACCAAATCAAGCATTTAGTTGGGGATCTAAGTTGGTTTGGCCCAGGAAGCAGGATTCTCATGACAGTTGGAAATATTAATGTTCTTGATGGTTACGGAAATGGAGTGGCTGACAAGTATGAGGTTGGAGAAATGGGGCCTTGTCAAGCTCTTAAACTTTTCCGCATGCATGCTTTTTGTGAGTATACTCACGAAGAGGAGGATGAGTATGATTCTCTGTCCAAAGTCATTGTTGACATTATTGGAGGTATCCCTTTGGCTATTGAAGTAACAGCTTCATACTTGCGTAAGTATAAGGGGAACAGACAAATATGGCAAAATACATTGGATAGCTTAAGAAGGAAGCCAGAAGATAAAGTCCAAGAAGTGATCGATATAAGCTATGGCTCTCTAAATGAAGAGACGAGAAAGATATTTCTTGATATAGCATGTTTTTTCATTGGAACGGATGAGAGAATTCCCTCATACATGTGGTGTGCATGTAAATGTGATCCAAGAGGAATCATGATTCTCCGTGACATGGGTTTGGTCAAAATAGGAGAAAACAATGAAATATGGATGCACAGTCAACTGAGAGAGTTTGGCAGGGAAATTGTTAGGAAGGAAAATCCTGACGAACCTCAAAATCGCAGTAGGTTATGGAATCACTTTGATGCACTTTCCATGCTTAATGGAAATCAGGTATACTTTTCAAGCATAAGATCTTTTAGTTTAAACACGGTCAACAATCTTTGAAAGCACTTCCTTTCCTTGATTTTTCTTTCCCTAAATGAAGTGTGAATGGCTATATTTCATTTCCCTTCTACTTATTCAGTTCCCTCGATTTGCAGAGTCCTAGTAAGGTGGAAGCCCTTGGTCTCACATTTGATGAGGGACAAAGTGAATGTTTAAGATGTGAAAGATTTAGCCAGCTAGGGTGCTTGAGGTTCTTGAGATTGGACCGGGCTACTGTTGGACGGAGTTCTCAGAATGTATTTGGCTATCTAGGGCGCTTGAGGTTATGGAGATTGGACCCGGCCACTGTTGGAGGGAGTTCTCAAAATATTCTTTCAAATTTAAGGTGGCTTGATTGGCAAGGGTGCAGCCAGATCTCTGAACTACTTATTTTCCATTTGGAGAAACTGGTCATTCTTGATCTATCTCGCAGTCAGGTCACTGGAGATTCACAAGAATGGGGCCAAATCATGAAGGTAAAGTGCATTTTTGTCTATGTATCCTAGGATTATTAGAATAGCTAGCACCAACTGAGCCTTTTCTGACCTCTTTTCCTGCAGAAGGCAAAGGAATTGAAAGTTTTGAACCTCAGTAGCTGTCGTAACCTGAATGCTTTTCCAGACTTCAGTGCTTCGATATACTTAGAGAGATTAGTCCTGGAACGTTGTTTTGTACCATCCCAAGTTGGTCCATTGATAGGTAATCTAAAGAACTTAGTCTCCTTAAATCTTAAGTTCTGCACAATCGTCAGCGACTTGCCGCAAGAACTGTGTTGTATGAAGGATTTGGAAGAACTTCTGATTGATGGAACTTCCATTAAAAGGATTGATTTCGAACCAGCCTCCATGAAGAAACTTAAGATTCTGAGCGCTTGCCAATGTGGAAGTTTGGCTCATGTATCACCCTCTATTGGTCACTTGGAATCTCTTGAGCATCTTCGACTGGATGGTGCCGCTATTGAAGGACTACCAGATTCTATTAAGTCCTTAAAGAAACTTCGGAGCCTGCTTCTTGGAAATTGTCAGAATTTACTTGAGCTTCCTGGTTCCGTTGGGAATCTTGAGTCACTGGAAGTCATGGATCTATCCAGCACCAAGATTGCTAGTTTACCTAGGTCCGTTAAGCATTTGAAAAATTTGAAAGTGCTGAAGATGGAGAATACTCACTTAGAAAAATTCCCCAAAGATATAAAAAATCTAGAAAAGCTGGAAGAGATAGATCTTTCAAAATGCTGGAATCTGAAGGGGTGGATTCTCTGTGATGTCAGAGGATTATCCTCTTTGAAAATCTTGAGATTATCATCTACCAGGATTTCTGGCCTACCTTGGACCCTTTCATTGCTCTCTGATCTCCAACAACTAGATTTAAGTGAATGTGACCAACTTTGGGATTTGCAAAGACTTCCATCAAGTTTAAGTATTCTTCGCTGGGGATCCAAAAAAATGTGGACGGTGCCAGACCTTTCTTTCATGGGAAACTTGAAAGAGCTGTACTTGAGTGATAACTTTGATTCTACTGATCCAACGCAGAGTTCTTCCTCTTCCTCTGAGCCACCACAAATTGGATGGTTAACAATACTAGCGAATCTAGAAATCTTGGAGTTGTGCCTCTCAAACATCACCAGGCTACCTGAACATTTTAGTAAACTTCAACTTAGAAAACTTGTTTTGCACTATGCAAACTTGCGTGACCTTGGAGAGCTACCCTCTTGCTTATCGGTATTGTGCCTTCAGGACTGCACGATTCGACATTCACAATTTTCTACGGTGAGAGGTCTATCTGAATTAGAACTCAAACACTGTCGCTTGGCATGGACCATCGGTCTTAAAGATTTGAGGCGACTGGAACTTCTGAAAATATCTGACTGCAATGTGCGAACACTTGATGGGCTGGAAAATTTGCCTTGTTTTAGAAGGCTCACTCTAGACGAGTGCCCTTCATTGACCGGATTACCTGATCGAACAAATCGTACATTCGAAATCGATGGGTACAATTTCGCAGAAGAACAAATAGTCGGCAGTTGTGTTGCTCACACCTAGCTATGGTCAGAATATTGTGTAAATGCTTCGATAATGATTCCGACTTATGAGTGAAGATCTTGCTGCACAATGGATATTCGGTCTACCTTCAATAAAAAGTTGGAGGCTTTTCTGAAAGATAAATATTGCTACTCTTTGCTTTCCTCGACTTGAACATCTGTACAACTCCATGATGCACCAGCGGTCCTTTTCTCTTTTGGCTAAGAGTTCCTGCAGTCAAATTTCTGTGATGTGTCCTCTCCAACTCGTGAGCTTGGAACTTTTCTGTTGGCAGGCCTGACCTTGTGGGCTTGGACAGGCAAGTTTGTGCTTTGAAATCTTTTGCTAGCTTCTGATTCTAATTTCTAAATTTATTTTTTTTTCTTTTAGTGAAAACGCATAAAACGATAACTGGAGCACAGAACCAACATAAAACTAACAAAAGAAAAATTGATACTAGATAATTCAATTTGCCAGTTCTTTGCGCATGAAATCATGAAACATTCTGGGCATTTTAATTTCTTTATTGTTCGCTCGTTTTTGTCATTCAGAAGAAGTTTGGGACAGATTTACTAGCAATATACCGGGTGGGCTGGGATGGATATTCAATATCAGAATGATGATTGGGCAAAAGACTACTTGGTGGAGGAGGAGAGATGGCTGGCTGTTTTGTTTGAATGGGAGATATGTAGCCTTGAAGTCCGGGGGATGCACGTTGAGAAGATAAGCCGATGGGACTCGAGTGCGGCTGCGTGGAGTCGCATACTGCTCCTTCCTTTTTGGGCTGAGGGTTAAAAGATTGACCGGGGAGTTGCAGCTGCAGTGTTGAAGAGTTAAACTCTCAATCTCGGTCGATGTCGGTTACTTAAAAAGTAGCAAGAACGACGCATTTCCCCTACCTGTGAGTGTTGCAACCGGCATCAAATGGTAATCATTGTCTCATATCTGTTCTAATGAAAACACTGACCCTGAGTCCGTGTTGTGCAACTTCCGTCAGGCACTGCATTTTTCCATCAAACATCGTTGTGCTTATTATGCGACAGTTATATGATGTAGGCACTTCCACAAGCCGAAATAATTCGTTTGTGTTTCTCAAAAAGGATTCTCCACCATAAAAGCTTACCGTACTACATATGGCCATGTGATAAGGAGAAGAATCCGCATGCTTCTGTTCTATGATATCATTTTCTTTCTCTTTCTTTTTTTCTTTGCTACTGAGAATGGTGATTCGTGGATGATTTTCCTGAGGAAGCCTCCAAGATGTAACTGGAACTAGAATACTTAATAGGGTCATCTTAAACTTCTGCTCTAATGAGTACAATACATGTAGACTATATATAGAGAGTAAAAAAAAAACATGGAACTCCTGTTGTAGGAGAGAGGAAATGCAGAGTGCTTTCAGGTTGTCCTTTAGAATATGTTGTAGGGATATTTACCCTGTCTCAAGAAATGTTGGAGCATCTTGACTATTACCGTCTGTCTGTTGTTAGAGACTTTGGTCGCGCAGACGCCTTAAATATTTTTGCGTTCCCTTCAAGCAACAGCCTTTGCCCGCCAAGAACAGTGTCATGACAGCCTTTGGCTGCGCAAACTCCTCCAAATTTTCCGAGTGACTATAGTTTGGCATTTGGCTATGCTCAGAGCAACCAATACGTGCATGGAAGCTCCACACGGTCGAAATAACTAAACAAGTAAACCTTACTAGCAGTAGTAGATTCATTTAATCGTGAACAATTCATCGAGAAGATCTCTGGCACTCACATATAGCTGCGTCAATGAGTGTACCGACTGAGCCAATCTATAGCTTATGCCGGAGTAACCTCACTTCATCATGCACTGTTCTATTACAGTAGCACATGAAGATGAATCTCTCCTCTATGCTGAAGATCGACTGAAAAGGATGAAACCCCGCAGAGCGATTCTCTTGAATGAAGTTGGATTTCTCATTCCTGCTGATAATATGCGTTTGGAGTTCTGGAAAATATAGTAGACCGGGCGAAGCTGGTTCGACGATAAAGGGCCAAAGAACCTTGCTAAACGAAGCGATCAGCAAATTCATGAAGTAAACCTCAAGACCAAATTCCCATCTCTTGGTGTCGACCTCTGCCATATAAATAGAGGTTATGATCATGCAAGAAGACGAGGAAGAAAACGAGGAATATCAAGAAACCATCATCAGAAGTTCAAGACCCGTAAATACAAGAACTAAAGGAAGATGAAGGAATGCTCAACCACGCCGAAACTCTTATTGAATTTTTCATATGATCTTTCCTTCGGGTTTTTTCCTGCAATGTCTTCGACTTTAGTCTTTCTCTTTTATGTCACGGTCCGTTTGTTCAAAAGAAAAAAGTTCCCGAGAAATTGTTTTTCGACTTGATGGAAAATTAAACAATTTATGGAAAACGTAGCAACAAGTTTAGATTGGGGGAAACGACTTCCTCTTCTGACCTAAATCGCCAAATAAATGACTTATCATAAAGTTTTCAGTGAAATAAGGTGTGCCATTCGTAACACGTCAACCGACTCGTGTCAATGTTTTTAACCTTTAGCGAGTAGATTTATTTCATAAGTAAAATTTATGTATTATTATTTTTGGGATTACTTGCCTAATGAAAGATTAGTCCTTTATAACGACCTCCACGATTTGGCTCAGTACTCGCATCGCAGCCGTCCGACCTCCCTGCGCACCGTCGCCCTCCGGTGCTCGCCTCCGGTCCCTTAAACGACGAACCTCTCCCCGCCGCCTCCGCCAGGTCCGTTCTCTCTCTCCACCAAGCTCAGCATGTCGCAATTTAGGGGTTCCGATCACTGAAAACCCTAGGAGAAATCTCGTACTGCCGGTGATGCGTGCGGTTGAGAAATGGAGTGGAGCTTCTTTTTTTTTGGGGGTTTCTAGCTTCATTTTTATTAGGGTTTTTTAGTGGCGTATCGACAAGGACTGTTGGAATTGGAGTGTGGCATGGAGTTGTTCGGCGCTTCATTCTAAAGAAGTGTGGTGGAGGAAGGTATTGGCGTAGCGCAAATGTGGTGGAGATGCTTTTGGGGGCAAGAGGGCATTGGACCATGACGATGTTCGCTTCATATTATTTCGAACTGATGAGCAAGAGCGAGTGTAGAGATCAGGAAAAAAAATGAACTTGGCGTGTAGGATGCTTTCGTTTAGATGCAGTGCGGCAAGAATAACCCTAAAAGTGGGTTGTGGAAGCATTTCTCCGAGACTATGGGGAGTTTTCTCGAAGGGCTTTTCGCGTCGTGAATGCTGAATTCCTTGTCGAAAGCTGTGTACAGCAAGATTCGATTTGTTTGCTGTTTCTGCTATCTTCGTCGAATCTGACAATCGGTTTTCTGGCCTTTTCTTATCATATGTTGATTTTCTTGCGTGTAATTGCTTTGCCGAGGCAGCTCAATATTTGTGGCTTTCGTGTTTATATTCATCTTGGGAGTTCAAGATTTACTTTTAGTTTGCGATGACTTGATGTTTATTAGTTGTAATTTGTATTGCAATATCTTTTATTTAAGAATTTGATGTAGTTTTTTCAGTCTATGGACATGGTTGAAGTTCTCTATCTTGCTTTCTCTTGCCCTTTGTTTTTTCAGTAATTACCATGACTTGATTTTGGCATTTCTGTTGGTTTCTAGATTGGACTGCTTCTTATTCTAGGTAGATTAATTGGATGGACAATGTTTGCAATTGTTGACATGTTGGCCTTCCCTTGCAAATTTGACCGAACAATTTGACATGGGGTAGCAAATGTCTCACGATCCTTTTCTCTTTTCCCTTGAGGAAAACACCTATATGGCGTAGCTTGGTCCACCGTCACAATATATTGCTTTTCATAACCGTAAACTAGCAAATTAGTGATAATTTGTCTGTAAACTTACTTGTACAGACCTGTATTGCCTTCTGGCTGAAGATCAAGTGTGTGTTAACTTGCATACGTAGATAATGAACAGAGGAGGGGGAGCAGGAGCAGGACTAGGTAGTGGGAGTGGGCCCACGGCTGCAGCAGCAGCTGCAGCTGTCCAGAAGCAGAGGGTGCTCTTACAAAGAGTTGAAACCGACATTGGCCACATTGTCGACAATTTCAGTCAGCTTGTGAATGTCGCCAGAGTGTGTATTCTTTCCTCCTTGCCCCTTCGTGTCTGGAAACCTTTATCCCTTTCTCAGTATTAATCATAACAATGGTTAAGGTTATCTGTCCTTTTCGTTTGTGTGAGGTTAGATTGAACATCAATAAACTGTCTCTTTGTCACTTATTGACTACCATGTAGTGTGAGGTCTACATCTCCTTTAAATGTATCGACTTGATGCTGGACTAAGGTATCGTGAGGTTATATCGATAGATAGGAGGGAAGGTTGCTTAAGCTCTTGTAAGCTGTGGAAATTGGGAAAGAGTAAATGTTTCCGTGGTCTTGTTCTTCATGAATGGAGTGAAAGTGTTTTTATTTTCCAAATGGAAAGAAATCCGTTTGAGATCTTTGAAGGTTTTTGAGATGGACCTTTTAATAATGAAGAATGGAGACCTAATCAGAAATTTTCAAGATGTCATGGTGAGGGAATACAAACTGATAAAGTATGGATGATATTCAAAATGTGGATGCTTACTTCCTGATATTGATGCTTTCGAAAATATGAGCTTAGATCAAATAGATGATAAAAGTAAAGTTTGTCTTTTCCACCCTAGTGATTCAAGTAGCATGTACACTCCGAGAGATTTTTTTTTTTGAACATAACATGCGAAGAGATAGTACTCTTATAAAAAAAAAAAGAACAGTTGTTCTATACTTTCATCTTAGATTTGAAATTTACAAACTGGGAAGGGTTTGATATGTGAAGAGCATCTATCATGATATTGACTCAGTATTCTCACTTACGGCAGGTGAATGACCCTCCGGTCAGAAACTCACAAGAAGCTTTCATGATGGAGATGCGCGCAGCAAGAATGGTAAGATTTGGACTTCAATCTGAAGTGAGGTTTGGCCATTTAGTTATTGTAACCTACAAAAGATAGTTAAATGTGCTCATTAACCCAAAAAGCAGTTCATGTTCGCATATATATATAGATATTCTTGCTGTGTGTCAATTTAGTATATCTCTGCTGAATCCATCAGAGACTCACAATTGCAGAGCTGTGAGACTTCTAGAAAATGGATGTAGAATTTCTCTTTCATGACAATAGGCATTTCAGTATCTCAGAGATTGCGCTTGCCACACATGTATTAGCAATAAGCAATAAACATAATGCGAAACAACCCTCACAATCTGGATTTTCTGTATAGTTTAAATGAACTTGAGGGAACACAAGTGGTCACTCCAAAATTAGTTACTCGAATTGGCGATGCAGGTGGCTTAGGATTATTAACTTTTCAAGGAATATGATGAAGTGGCGACAGCATCTTTCTATAGTTTAAATGAACTTGAGGGAAAATAAGTGGCATAACCTCGAGATTAGTTACTTGAATAGGTGATGTGTGCGGTTAAGGACTAAAAACTTTTCAAGGAATATTATTAAGCGGTGGGAGCATCTACTCGCAACGCATCAGAAATGTTAACCCTGGATTGATCTTCTTTACTTTCTGAAGCTTATCAAAGAAGCAGCTTCTCTGTGCTAATGTATTTGTCTCCTCCGCCATCTGATGCATGTACCAAAAACAGGTTCAAGCGGCTGATTCGCTGCTGAAATTGGTATCGGAGCTGAAGCAGACTGCCATATTTTCGGGATTCGCATCTCTGAATGACCATGTCGAACAGAGAATCGTTGAGTTCAACCAACAAGCTGAAAAATCGGATCGAACATTGTCTAGAATTGCCGAGGAGGCAGCTGCCAGTCTCAAAGAGCTTGAATCTCATTACTACTCTTCGTCGCAGAGGACGACTCATCCCACAGAATCTTATTGGAACATGGCCGCGATCTTGTGTATTCTGGGATTATTTGGACTTGTTACTTTTCTTGAAGCTAACAACAGCTATGTACATTATATCGAGCTTCTAGGTATTCTTTAATTTTAGTTTTTAATTATATGCTCCGTTTACTGTGCGGGAATCTTGACAAACATTTTTTAAAAAGTCATTTTTTTAAGGAAATAACAATATTTTTCGGTGTTTGATTGAAATTTGAAAATGAACTGGAAATTATTCTTCGTTGTTTGGAACGGAAAATTTTTATTTTCCTAAAGAGGCATGCACTATTCACGATGTGTGTACATGTTTATCGCAGTCCACCGGCGAGGATTTAGTAATTTGGTAGAAAATACAAATAGAGTCATTCATTAACTGAACTTTTGAAGTAATTGAATATCTTGATTTTGAGTTGATAAAGTTAAGGCTCCTCTCATTTTATTAGACCTGGGCTCGGCCATCGAGGTCCTGAATACTTAGGCACAATGGTTGAAAACTCGGGCATGGGGCGCTGAGATCTTGGGTCAAGCCTTGTGGGACCTAGGGCTAGCCGCTAGGGTCCGGAATCTGGGTATTGAGGACCCCGCCTCGGTCAGAGACTAGGCCCCGACCATGGGGGACTCGAGCCGGCTTCAAAGGTTCCAATTAGAGGAGTCGGGTTTCTTGGGCCCAACCATTTGGAACTTGAGCACAGGTGCCGGGGATCGGTGCCCAATCTTGATTGACTAAGCTCGGGTGTCGGTGACTTGGATGCAGGATCCGAGTAGTCGAGCACGGCGACCATTGACTCTAGCATGAACATTGGGGTGTCAAGCCCGGCCTTGAAGGACTTGGGACCCACCTCTTTATATCCAGGTTCGACCTAGATCTGACCTCAATGGACGGGTTAATTCCAAAAAAAAACACCAACTTTAGGTCGAGGGACAATTCTGGCCCGAACTTTTTTTTGTTCCATAAAAAAGCACAAACTTTAGGTCGAGGGACAATTCTAGCCCGAACTTTTTTTTGTCCCATAAAAAAACACCAACTTTAGGTCCAGGGACAATTCTGGCCCGAACTTTTTTTTGTCTTGTAAAAAAGCACAAACTTTCATTTAAATCCCAAATTTGGGCTCCCATCGACTTTCTGTCTGAAGTTACCCTTGTTTGAGAAAAAAAGTTTTGGTGGTGAGCCTGGCGAATCTCTTTCATGGCGTCTGTTGACGGTCGGTGGTCTACAGCTTCAAATTACGACAAAACGACGATGTTTGGCCAGAAAGATTCAATCTAGAGATATTTTTGACTTGCCAGTGAAGTGAAGGAGACGAACAGTTTCACCGTTATTCTTCAAGCTGTGCTTCAAAAGCTATAGAAACATCCTTAGGAAGCTTGGTACATGTACCAACGTCACGATCGGTGATGCAAGCTAAGTGTCACTCAACCCCACCTAATTGCTCTGCATACTCCCAAAATCTGTCCCTTTTCCTAATCATCTCATCCCTAGCCAAACCACACGCACCAGACTATTATTAGACTCCCAAATTATATTGAAACCAGGCGCAAGCTAATGTTGGCTAATTGAAACTTCAAACTCTATCCGAGTTCGCCTAAAAATGTTTAAGAGAGTCATGGATCGTTTATGATAACTATCTCTACGAATCCTTAATCTTTTTTATTACTCTTAATGACCGAACATCCAAACTAAAGACTTTAGATTGCGCATCACACAATCTAAAGTCTTTTTATTTGGCTTTAGATCTTACAGAGGAAAGAGATTCGTGAACAAAACGACATTCATGAAGAGAGAGAGAGAGAGAGAGTTTCACTCGTTTGTGCATGGATAGACATGGAAGCAAGCGAAAGAGAGTGGTTGTTACCTTAATGAATCCAAGCAGAAGCAGAGTTCACTGAAATTTCTCACACATCGCTACCCCAGAAAACCTACAAGCGATCAAAAATCAGAGAGAGAGAGTACATAAACGATTGCATTGTTGGGAGGCTTGTGCGGCCTTTGAAGAGTAGCGTAGCAGCAAAAGTACACTAGCATGGTTGGGCGATGGGGGTTGCTCCAATTCACAATACAGGGATGGATTGTAGGTAAGATACCCAAAGAAACCCCATGCCCGAAACGCCTGAAATTTCCCAGGAGAAATCTTTTCAACATTAGACTTCGATCAAAGCAGTCTAATGGCTCCTACCGTTCTCAACACCAATCCACCATAACTCAACCACATTAAGCCCATAATCAACCCATTCATGTCAATTATCTTAACCAAAAGAGCACCCCAAAACATCGCAGCCGAATCCGAAACGCAACACTCCCAATTCACAAAATGATCAACAACCACATACAAGCTCTACGTTCCTATGGAAAATTACCCTTCGTTGGGCTGAGGATGAGGAGTACGGTGAGGCTGTTAAGAAAAGGGTGCGCATTTACTTGGGCTAATAATCGAGAGAGGGAGTATGGTGAGGTTGTTAACCAAAAAACAGCAGGGACACAAATTCTCAGGTAAACAAAAAAGTGAAGAGATACATTCTCTACTTTCCTATGGAAAATTACCCTTCCCCGTTGAACAATACTATATACTGGAAAATCTGATCCAAATCTCAAAAACTCTAGAGATTGGGCTTTAATGGCTAGCCCTAATAAGCCACCGGGATACAAATGAAGCTCTTATGTTGGAATTGTCAAGGGTTGGGCACACCCATGACAATTCAAGCTTTAAGAGTCCATGTGACTCAAGAAAGGCCCAAGGTGTTATTTCTTATGGAAACAAAAAATCAGCAGCAAGTGGTGGTTCGGCTAAAACACAGGCTTAAATTCCAACACTGTTTTGTGGTTAATCCTAGGGGTATAGCAGGAGGTTTGGCGGTCATGTGGAGTAGCGGGGTGTCTGTCACAGTGCAGTCCTTCTCTGATGAGTTCATCGATGTGGTATATAATGATATAGAGTGCAAGAAACCTATGAGAATTACCTGTGTGCATGCACCAAATAACTTCAGAGAAAGATTGAGACTATGGGAGGAATTGAAGCACATAAGCTCCCTAAATCACCTTCGTGGATTTGTTTAGGGGATTTCAAAGAAATTCTTTATCATTGGGAAAAAGTTGGGAGAAGGATGGCCAAATATTATAGATTGGTGGCTTTCTGGGACTTTGTAAATGAATGTTCGCTGATGGATCTTGAATGCAAAGGGTGCGCATTTACTTGGGCTAATAATCAAGAGAGGGAGGCTTTTGTCAAAGAAAAATTGGATCGCATCCTATGTAATATGGACTGGAGGGTATCTTTTCCATCTGCAGAAGCTTATGCATTGCCGGCTATAGGCTTAGATCATAGTCTGATTTTACTGACTTTTGAAGTTGAAGCAGTCAAACAAAAGAAAAATTTTAAATATGAAGCTTATTGGGCTGAGGATGAGGAGTACGGTGAGGTTGTTAAGAAAGCCTGGACTGCCACAACTCAGGAAAACCAGCATTTACTGGGCAAACTGAAAGGAGTCTCCAGGGCCCTAACAGTGTGGAGTACGAAAAAATTCTCCCATGCACAACGGCAAATTAATATTCTAAAACTGGAACTTCAGCAGATTACAAATGACACCGAGCAACAGGTTGATAGCGAGAGAGTTAGACAGCTTAAAAATAGAATTCAAGAATTATGGAGGCAAGAAGAAATGTACTGGGGAATGAGGTCTCGAATTACGTGGCTGAAATGGGGGGACAAAAACACTAAATTCTTCCATGCAACTACGATTCAAAGAAGGCAACAGAACAAAATTTCAATGCTGAGAATGTCAGAAGGGGAATGGAGTAGGGATCCTAGTAGACTCAAACGGGCTACTGCAGATTTTTTCAAGGAGTTATATACATCGGTGGGCTACTACGACTTTCTTCCTGTTCTTGAGCAGTGCACCACCACTGTGAATGAGGAAATGAATAATATGCTGACTGCAGAAGTCACTCTTCAAGAAGTTAAGGACGCAGTTTTTCAATTGGGAGCCTCGAAAGCGGCGGGACCAGATGGACTTAACAGGCAATTTTAGCAGCATCATTGGGGGGATATTCAGGGAGATTTATTAAAGCTCGTCAAAGATTTCATGAACTGTGGTGTTTTTGAACCTGAGATTAACAGGACACTTATTGCTCTCATTCCAAAGGTCCCAAACCCAGAAAATCTCACCCAATACCATCCCATTAGTCTGTGCAATTTCACGTACAAGATCATCTCAAAGGTGTTAGCAAATCGTTTGAAACATTGGCTGCCTTTCTTAATAGAAGAGGAGCAAAGTGCTTTCATAACTGGCCGCCAAATCCAAGATAATATATTGGTTGTACAAGAGGTACTCCACCAGCTTCATATCAGAAAAAGAAAGAAGAAGTTTCAAGCTATCTTGAAACTAGACATGCAGAAAGCCTACAATAGGATTGAATGGGACTTCTTGGAAGCTTGCTTGTTGAAAATGGGGTTTCACAGAAAATGGGTATCTTGGATCATGCAATGCGTCACAACGGTATCTTTCAGTGTCAAATTTAATGGTGAATCACTACCATACTTTCAGCCATCAAGAGGAATCAGGCAAGGAGACCCTCTTTCCCCATATTTATTCATACTCATAGCCAATGTTCTATCTTTGCTCGTGAAGAAAGCTACTGACATGGGGAATCTAAGAGGTATAAAATTGAACAGACATTGTCCAACACTAACTCATTTATTGTTTGCCGATGACTCCATTTTTTTCCTGGATGGGAAAGTCAGCGAATGTCAGAATATGGCTGATGTGCTAAACCAATATTGCTATGCTTCGGGCCAGTCTATAAACTTGAATAAGTCAGGCATCTTCTTTAGCGCAGGCTGTCCTTGGAGTTTGAGACAGAACAAGGCCCTAGAATTGCAAGTCCCGGAAATAGAAAAAACAGGAAAGTATCTAGGTATCCCATCAGATTGGGGAGCCTCAAAGAAGGATATGTTTGCATGGATTTTGGCTAGAGTAAATATGAAATTAGAAGGGTGGAAAGAAAATTTGATGTCCAAGGCAGGAAAGGAGGTCCTTCTGAAGGCCGTGATTCAAGCATAACCGCAATATGTGATGTCAATTTTCAAAATCCCATTATCAATATGTCGAGCCATAGAACAGAGGATTGCTGCCTTTTGGTGGAAAAATGGAGAATCAAAAACTGGAATACACTGGAGGAGATGGGAGCTGCTCAAAACTAGAAAGGACAAAGGAGGCTTAGGATTCAGGGATTTAACTACTTTTAACAAGGCAATGCTGGTAAGCAAGCCTGGAGATTCTCCCAGTTTCCATCAGCACTTTGGAGTAGAGTATTAAAAGGTTTGTACTTTCCACACACTGACTTTTGGCATGCGGGGAAAAGATATAGATCATCCTGGGGCTGGCAGAGCTTAATCATGGGAAGGGACGCAATTTCAAACTCAGTATTGTGGTCGGTCGGAAATGGACAGTCCATTAAAATCAGAGAAGACAGATGGCTCCCTTCAGGTGTGATTGGCACCCCAGCGAACCGCGACGAACCAGAATATGTGACAGCTCTTATAAACAAACATGCATGTTCCTGGGATGAAAAGGAAATGCGATGGTGGTTGGAGGACAGAGTAGTAAAGGAGATAGTTTCTATCCCTATAGGTACTTTTATTGAAGCTGATAGAATGGTCTGGACAGGAACCAAATCGGGTCAATACTCAGTGAAAAATGGCTACAATGTCCTCAGACAGACAGAACCCACAGCACGCATACAGCAACCATCCTCCTCCTACCAAACCCCAACAGAACTTTGGAATATAATATGGAATCCAAACAGCTCACCAAAGCTGAAAATGTTCCTATGGAATGTCTGTCAAAATGCATTGCCTACCAAAGAAAAATCTACTTAAACGGAAAATAGTACCTGATTCCTCTTGCCCCTTCTGCCGGCTAAACAGCGAAACCATCGAGCACCTGATCCTCCTCTGCCCGTGGACAAAAGCAGTATGGTCAGATCTGCGGGTAAACATCCATGTCTCCAGTCAGGGGCTTAATCGAATAGAACAATGGCTCTTGAACTACAAGAACTCACAAGAAGAACCGCCAAACCTGCAATTAATCACGACGATTATGTGGCAAATCTGGAAGGCGCGGAATGAATTTGTCTTCAGACGGAAAATCCCAGATCCGAGAAAAGTAGTTACTGAAGCGTGTGCCCTGAACGATAAAATCACTCGCTGGAACTCGAAAACCACAGGGAAAGGAAAGAGAAAGCAGAGCTTACCAGAGTCATGGATCCCGCCGCGCTCGGGGACGCTCAAAATAAACGTTGATGGCTCGTTCTCGGCGAGTGAGAGTACCGGCGCTGTCTCTTGGGTGTGCAGGGACTCCTCCGGGAAGCTGATCGACGGTTCCGGGAGTGCAGCGCAGGTCCGATCGGCCCTCCATGCCGAAACCCTAGCTTTGCTGCAGGCGTTGAAGTGGGCTTGAGAACAAGAGTTAGAAAACGTGGAATGCCCGAAGGCACAGATCAAGTTTGTTGGGAAGTCCAATCGCTTATCAGGGAATGCCACCCGCTACTTATCAGGAGTGAGCGGTTACAAATTCCTCAAAAATTTCGCTTGAAACATGAAATCTACCCTCGAATACAGATTTTTCATTTTTTGAAATCTAGAACCTACCTATTCGAATGCAAAACGTAAAACCTACTCTGTCACAAGTTCTAAGGTCAATTCCAGATTCTAACAGGTTCTATTTTTAAATTTCATTTTTAGTTAAACAAAACGAAAATAAACGCAACAATAACTAATTACTGGAAAGCAATATTTCGCTTAATAAAAAAGGGATAGAACATACAAATAATAATTGTTGGGATGCAACACATGACTTTAATTCCAAGGCATGATTAGAGTCACTTTATTCATCCAAGCGGTGGCTACAATTCTTATATAGAAAATTCCCCATAATCTCTCTAAAATCTACCCAATAATGACAAATCGCACAAATAATTATAAAGTGCTAGTGACTCGGATCTTAAGTGAGACCATATAATTTTAGACGATGTCAAGGTAGGTTTATCATTTGGCAGATAAAATGAGCCAACTAGAGCTCATTTTATATCTATGGTCCGGGTCGGACCAGCAAATTGGACTGGGTCCATCGATCCGGTTTTAATATTATATTATTATTTTATTTTAAAAAAATTAATTAAAAATTTTCGAATTTTTTTATTTTCTTTTTAAAATTAGGATATAATTTAGATATAAATATTGTCTAATATTTTTTTAAATTGTGCGACATATCTGAATGTTTTAAATTGCTGTTGTATTATTATTATACATGTTTTTTTAATTAAAATATAATTACATAAATTGTCATGTTTTAAATCAAATAGACCTATAAAACTATGCAGTAGGACTTTGCATGTTATATTCATCATTGTTGTTTTATTATTATGCATGTTGTGTTTTTAATTAGAGTATAACTGCATAAATTGTTATGTTTTGAATGTTGTCCCCTTAGTTAGGGTTGGAACCCTAGATTGCATATCTTTCTTGACTGCTAATCAGTAATGATTGTGCACTCGCTTGATCACCTCACATGTTAGGAGAAAAATCCTAAAATCAATCTAAATTGCCTGACAAATATTTTCTGAAATGAACGGGGTAAAAATGTACCGAAAGGGCATTAGTTATTTAACTAGTGTAACCAAGTCCCCGAACTCATTTAATCTCTGGTTCGCAGAAGTAAACAATTCTCCCATTGTTTTGCTTGGGTGTCTAATCGACCCACCATAAATCAATTAGTGGCGACTCCTAGATAAAAATTATTTGCAGGTTAAAAACCTAAACTCCTAAGTCGCGATATGGTATGGGCTTGGGAGAAGCCCGAGTTAACTCCCGAATTTAGACTTAGCGCGTAGCAAGTGAGACCCTCATCGTTTTTTGAAAATAAAAATCGGAGGTCGGTCGCGACAGTTCACAAAAGAAGAAAAAGAAAAATTCACAATGTGAATATGTTTACAAAGTATCACACAAATTATTACCATGAAGATCCAACAAAAAACACAGGTAACTGCAGAAGCTATGAATCCAGATTCTCGTGTCACGGTAGGTATGGCGAGAATCCCAGCTCCTACCTATCAAACTTCGAATCATTAAAGCAAACATCACAGCAAGAATGAGCCGCTATAATTCCTCGACAAATACGACCAGACTTAACAAGCAATTTGTTATGCCCATAATTTGCATCGGACAGTAAGAGATCAGATTATCAGAGAGTCCATGATCCAGACAAAATTGAACATAACCTACGTACGAAATTCACTATGCACACAACGCGACCCTAACTTAGGCCAGTCACTGCAGAAATTTCACACAAATCGGTAATCGAATCCTTACCGTAGTGCCTGCCACCATAAAAATCACACTGGACAAACTTCCTGAAAACAGCAAAACAAGAACACGAATGCCGTCACACTAGTAAAAAGCAACATTGGACAATGCAGCCGCTAAGAATCGTGCATGCCGCGCGAGGTCGGAGGATACCATACTAGGTTCCTGCTTGAGAGTGGCCCGGTTGAGATTCGAGAACAGCTGCTCGACTTCGAGTTTGAGCTCGCTCTCGTTGGGCGATGGCCTCTGCGAAGAGCATCTGAGCCTCACCGTCCTTGAAAGCTCGGAAGAAGAAGAAGAAGAAGAAGAGAGGCGGTGAGGATGTACGGACGGTCCGCATCCGGGGAACCGCGAAGCAGGGGGCGGCGAGCGAAACGAACGGCGGTTTCAGGGTTGGACCGAGAGAGAAGGCCATGGAAGACAAAGAGACGAAGACGACGATGGCACCATCGACAGCGTCCCTCTCTTCTTCGCTGTGGTGAGCAATGCGAGGAGAGGCAAGAGGGTCTCGTCGAGTTGTGGGTGTGGGGAGTGGGAGAGAAAGCGCAATGGAGGAGCGACCGAGCGAGGGGAAATTTAGGAAGAAAAAGAGAGTTAGGGTTCTTAGTGGCTTCCAGTTCCTAAAAAATTAGAACCAAGAACCGGAACCTCCCACCCTAGAATCGAGAATCGAATTGGATCCGCCGGTTCGATTCTTCGATTCTCGGTTCTGTCTTGAAATCGTGCTCACCCTACTACTTATCAGTGTTAAAGGCCTTCGTTTGGCCCAGTGTGTAAGAACCCAAAACAAGGTTGCCAATTGGGTAGTGAGAGCCCGAGCCCAAGCCCATAATGTCCTTCCTCTAAATTGGGTCTCCAGTCCCTCCGAGGTTCTTTGGAATTTATTATGCTCTGAAGCCCACTTAGAATGCGTTTGTTTTGCGGAAAATAGATCATTTCTGGAAAATGCTTTCCAGGAAATCATTTTCAAGAAAAATGAGTTCATTTTTCTAGAAAAATGAGTTTATTTTTCGATATTTGGCTAAAACCTAAAAAAGACTTGGAAAATATTTACAATTGTTTGGTGAGAAAAATCTAATAGTGAAAATTATCAAAAAAATTTATATTTTTTAAAGTATTTCATCTTACTTGTTATTTTTATTAAGAAAAGAAAATACATGAATGTTTTCTTTCTTAGAAAGAAAAGAAAAAAATAATAACAAATTCAAGATGAACAATTTCGAAAAGTGTTTTCACCTTGTTAGATTACGGAATTCACTTTCCTAAAATTAAACATGATATCTATGTTGACTGGAAAGTATTTTTCATTGACCAAATCATTTTCAAAGAGTCAAATGGATGAAAATCCGAAAAACACTTTTCGGAAAAACTCTTTTACCAAAACAAACACACCCTCAGTGTAACTTTCAGTTTCTACAATATGAATGAAATGCACTTGTTTACCAGCCAAAAAAAAAACCAGATACAAGCCGGTAACGGCACATTGCCAAAACCCAATTGAATGAAAGAAACTTGTTTACTCTCCCCCTTGGAATCCAGAACAAGAGCCGAGCCGCTAAGGGTGCGCATGGAATGCATTCCGGAATAAAAATTCTATTCCGAAATGCATTCCGAATGCAGAATCGGCGTTTGTTAAAAATTTCCTAATGCATTCTGAGCGATTTTTGCATTCCGGAATAAAAATGCGTTTGTTAAAAATACTTGATTCCAGAATGCATTCTTGATTCCAGAATGAGTTTTTGACAAGAAAAAGAGAAGCTACTTTTTGTAGCTTCTTGATTCCGGAATGCATTCTCTTTATTTTCTCACAATTTTTTTTTCAGAAATGCATAAAAATTGAAAAATTCTAGAAAAATTCATAAAAATTTTCATAAAAAAAAAATCAGATTTCTGGAAAATATGAAATTTGGTGAATTTTTTTTTTAAAAAATCAAAAAAATAAAAAATTTCAAAACTTCACAGAATAGCTTAAAACACATGTGGCCACCCACTTTGAGTGAAATTTAAATTTTTTGAGGTGCCCAAAAAAATCTAAAATTTCAAAACTTCACAAAATGGCTTAAAATACCCGCTGCCACCTACTTTGAAATAAATTTAAATTTTTGAGGTGCCAAAAAAAAAAAAAAAAATAATAATAAAAATAAAAATTTTCAAAACTTCACAAAATGGCTTAAAATACCTGTGGCCACCCACTTTGAGTGAAATTTAAATTTTTTGAGGTGCCCAAAAAAATAAATAAAAAATAAAAAATTTCAAAACTTCACAGAATGGCTTAGAATATCTCAGTAGCCACCCACTTGGAAGTAAAATTTAAATTTTTTGAGGTGCCCAAAAAAAAAAAAAAATAAAAAAATAAAAATTCAAAACTTCACAAAATGGCTTAAAATACCCGCGCCACCCACTTTGAATGAAATTTAAATTTTTTGAGGTGCCCAAAAAAAAATTTAAAAAAATCAAAAATTTCAAAACTTTACAGAATGACTTATAATACATATGGCCACCCACTTTGAGTAAAATTTTAATTTTTTTAGGTGCAAAAAAATCAATAAATCAAAACAGATTTCTGTTCCAGAAATCAATTTCTGGAGCAGAATTAGTCATGTTTTACCAAACAGATTTCTCCTCCAGAAATCAATTTCTGGCAAGAATTTGATTTCTGGAGCAGAATGGTTACCATTCGCACCCTAAACGGCTCCGTCGCGCTTTCAATATCCCGCGAGAGGAAGGTCCGACGCTCTTCGCAGCATGTTCCCCGATCTTCGCCTAGTTCCTTCAGCCTCGCACTCCGAATCTCCGACGAGATCGAACGAGGCGGCCAATGCCGGATCGGATTCGTCAGATTTGGACTCCGGAAGACACGAGGAGAGCGATCAATCCGTGGGAATGGCTCGTCGCTCCTCTTCCCCTCTTCTCCATCTCCTCCTTCGCCTGGTCGTTCCTTCATTCCTTCGCTCTAATCTCCCCGACGAGTCCCCGTTGGCTTTTCCCTTCCTGTCGAAATGGCCGACCGGAGGAGGAGTTGAAGAAATCGTCGAGGTCCTTCTTGGCCCAATATCAGCGTCTCCTCTGTACATCTCTTCTTTCGTCATTTTTCTAAGGTTAAGATTTAAGATT